CGGGCTCCACGCGCCTCAAGGATACCATGCGCATCCATTTTCACAATCCAAAGTTATCTAATGTTATCAAAGACTTTACCTCAAAATGCGACACATGTCAACGACACAAGGCTGTCGGTAGAGGCCATGGCCACACTGCTCCTAAGGAAGCTCCACTCATCCCCTGGCAACAACTCGCAGTTGATCTCATCGGTCCTTGGACACACATGGTGGCAGGACAAGAGATCGAGTTCAGAGCCTTGACAATCATTGACCTAGTGACCAACTTGGTCAATATTGTGCGCATTAAGGACAAAACGTGTGCGAACATAACACTTCAGTTTGAAAACGCTTGGCTCGCCCGTTACCCGCGCCCTGCAACGGTCATCCATGACCAAGGAACCGAATTCACGGGATTCGACTTTTAAAATCATTTGAATCTACACGGAATTGAACCTCGTTCTATCTCTGCCAAGAATCCTCAAGCAAATGCAGTTTGCGAACGGATGCATCAAACTATTGGCAACTCTCTTAGAGTATTGGTTACACTGAACCACCCTTTCAACATCAATGATGCCGAACAATTAGTTGACACTGCCATTGCAAATGCAGTGTATGCACACCGCTGCTCTTATCACGGAACTATAACCGCTACGCCCGGATCACTTGCCTTCCACCGTGACATGATCCTAGATCTTCCAATGCAAGCTGACCTTCAGCTCATTCAACAACATCGACAACAGCTCATTGACAAAGAATTGATACGAGCCAATTGTCGCCGATTTGCTTATGATTATCAGCCCGGCCAGGAAGCTCTAAAGCTTCGCTATAAGCCAAACAAGCTCGACCCTCGAGCCGATGGACCATATCGTATTGAACGAGTCCACTCTAATGGTACCCTTACCATTTGACTTGCTCCTCATGTAATTGAACGCGTCTCCTTATGACGAGTCAAACTTTACCAACGATGAAGTGGTTTTATCCTACTTGCAAATCATTGCTACTCTCTTTGTTTGCATGACCAATGCCCACTCCAATACCAGAGGAATTGTGAGTTAGCATGTCCTCAACTACACAAGATGGGATTCGCGGCAACGGAGTTCCAAAAAGGTCGCAGATGTCATCACAGTCATGATCCCCATCTTCTCCTCAAAGATAGCGGGATGCATTCCATCCTTCATCCAGGTCATCCTCTTCTGATTAAAAGTTGTGGAGGGCGCAGCAAGTCAGCCATATTGGTGTGGAACCATGTGTGATGTGTGGTCCTGACGCTGCTCATTCATGATTCCTTTTGTCTGGAAGATCCATCTCCTCCTTGGCGATGGTATTGTAAATACAGTAATTGATCGTTATCTCCTGTAGTTGAGTCGATAAAACTAATCTAATCAGCCTTGTTGGAGGGCCATAGGGTTGGGCATTGCCCATGGCGCGTTTGATCGGAGAGTTCTTGTGTGTGTTTGATTGTTGTGATGATTGATTGATTGATTAATTGGACCTCAAATCCTGTTTGGTTGGACCAACATTCCAAGAGCTCTGGAATGCTGGATTTTCATATTCCCAACGAAACAGAAGTAGTCTGTAGAGCTGGTAGGATTTCTACGTTGGTAGATATTCTACATACAGTATTTCCTGTTTCGCGTTCGCGAATGTTGACCGTGTGGATTGGCCTAAGCTCATAATATCTCTTTAGCAATCTTTCAATCGCTACTGTGCCTAAGTTAGTCCTCAGCCTTTTGTGGGACACGGCAGGCTTTGGTCTTGCAGTCGACCAAGTCAAATTTTGGAACACATATATCTTATCTCATATTCAATATACGCACTTCTGCGTCAACAATCCAAGTCACCTTGATGGACGCCATTTCTCTTCTGTTGCATCAATTCTTCCCAGAGATGGCTTGTTAGGTTTGGAGTTGTCAAGCAATAGCGACGGTGTATTGTTGGGTGGGTTCTAACCATGTCTAGACATCAGCAACCACTTTCGCCAACGTGATTGACAATCGCAACAACAACAGTCAATTTGCGACAATAAAAAATATGCAACAATAAAAAATATGCAACAATCAAACACACCATCCGTGATAGACATGCACCAGTCAAACTCAGCCTTTTGGAATGTGAAAATTTCCAACGAAATCATCCCACACAACCATCCCACAATACAACCCCGCCAGCATGGAGATTACCAGTCTTTGGAGTGGAGGGCCGCTGCAGATGGCAAGTCAATTCTTGGTCTGTAATGTTGTGCATAACCCAGATCCAACTATTGTGATATGATCATTGTCTAACATGGTGTTGCCTTTTTTCTTTCATCAGGGCAAGAAGCAGTATGGCAAAAAATGCATAATCACCGTTGATCACATGTGAGGCGGCAAGGAGAACAACTGCAAATGGTAAGTCAATCTCCTACTACAATGATGTGTACATTCTGCTTTCTAAAATCACAATGCTGCAAGATCAAAGTTTCTAAGTAAGTGATGGCAATTTTTTAGTATTTGGAAGAAGTCTCCTGTTGGTGTCTGACCCTCGTTTCTGCAAGTTCCATTTACATCCAGATGACCTGAAGCTTGACAGAGTGCCATCCGATAGCTTGGTGGTCGATCTCCTGGAAAAGAACACTGATGCAGCTGTTGGATACAGGAGTTGTGGTCACGGATATCAAGACTACCTGACAAAGGATGGCACAAAAGTTTTGCAAGCAAGGACGGGGCAGTACCAATCCTTTCATTACCTAGTGAAACGGATCATGCCAAACACCAAATTTGATGTGCGGAAGCAGGATGAGACGATCAGCAACATCTTCACCATGAGTGACAAGGCATTTGCCCTCATGCTACTTGAGAACTATGACAGTCGTTGGAGGAAACAGCACAAGGATCCCAAATCAGCAAGACTCCGAGGTAAGGAACATGCTGCTATATGCAAGGAGTTCAAGGCCAAATTCACATCAAGTGACAATGGCTTGAAGCTGAAGTCATCTGGTTGGAGTTGACAGGGAATTGAAAGCTACAATGACAAGTTGAGTTCAATTGGTAAGTTAAGAAGGCAATCCTGCTCAGGGGCGGACCTAGAAGAGTACGAACTGTGGAAGATGCGCGGTGGAGCAGACATTTATGTAAAGGGCACAGTGCCTCCTACTGCAAATGAGAGACAGATACCTATTGCTGAAGGATTGCTGGCTGTCCTTGCTGAAGCATTGGAAAGTATGTTTGCGGAGGTCTAGCCTCGTCAATAGATTGTCATTATATTGTCAAATAGAGCAAATGTGTTTGTGATATAATCAAAAGGATCTTTCTAATACATTCATAATCTGTATGCCCTTTAATCACCATTGACTGTTCTTCAGAGGGCAAGGAAACTCTGTTTTGTAGGTCATTGTAGTTGTCATAAATTGACAAGGATCTGGTCCTTTTAAGACGTTGGCAATTTGATGAGATGACATGGACAATGAGAAAGAGGAAGCCATCGGATGGCTCTTGATCAAATGGGTCCACTTCAAAAGGCCTGTTGGATGTCCTTAAAGGACAAATCCGGTGGGTGGAAAATCAAAAATGCATATGATCGAAATCACAGTCAGACGGCTTCGCATCCCAAGGTTCTGCTACAAAGTCAAATGGGAACTTTCCAAAAAATGAGAAGGTTCTTTTCATCAAAAAGACAATTTCCTTGTCAGAAGAAGGACGAGGGGTTCTGATCTATCACATAGACTTCACATGGGGTGGTGTTTAAAAAAAGGTGTTCTTGTCCTTTTTTCCCAATTAAACTGTCAATTAAGGGAATATTACTATAGCATTAAGGGGGATTTACTGGACAATATCGGACAAGTTCCATGACACCCAAAAGCACCAGGCAACTGTTTCAGATGATTTTGTAGTCAAGACAAAAGCATAAGCTGCTTTTGCTAGCACTGCTGCTAAAGAAAAGCTCAAGGAAGATATCTTCCCCTTTTGCTACGGGATTTGTCCCAACCCAGTGGTGCCACTTGCTCAACTTTGCTATTGAAAAGAAGCCGGGAGAGATTTGGGTGGACCTGATGCACAGGTTTCAAATGATGAACTCAGAGCTACAAGCCAACAACAAACAAGTGGGAAAATTGGCCATGGCACATGTAGAGAAGCACAAACTGATCCCAAAGGAACAGCACGGGTCCCGCAAGCACCACCAGGCCATTGATCTTGGGCCCCCCTCCTGGCTGATTGCTTCTGTTTTGTTGATGACACTGATGTCTGCCACACGGCACCATTTCCTGACTAGTCCGGGGAATCTATCGTCCCAGAGGTGGCCAAAACACTGAAATGGTGGTCCAACCGCGTCCGCGTTACTGGTGGCACCATCCGACCGGATAAAATCCTTTTGGTATATGATTGACTTCAAGTGGAATGCGCAATAAGGTGTATGAAAAATCCGGCGGAAGGGAGATTTCAAACCATCTCTTCTTCCAAAAGGCATGTTGGAAATTGCGGTTGAATTGGATGATCTGGATGGCACCCCATTGGATCTACAGTGGCTGGAACCGGACAAATTGGCCAAGACTTTGGGTATTCTGATGCCCCCTGCTCAAACAGGAAAGCACAACTTGTGGCTATGCAAGGGAAAGCAAAAGCATGGGCGGACCAGATCCAACCTAGCTTCCTTCACCACTATGATGTCCTTCCTCTCCTACGCACCGCAATCCAGAAGACTTTGGAGTACCCAATGGCGCTCACCTTCTTCTCTCAATAGGAGTGGAAACAGATGCTATCCCCAGTGCTTAGTGCGGCACTTCCCAAGGCCGGTATCTGCCGCAACTTTCCTGGTGCTATGGTCTACGCCCCTCCAACTCAAAAAACACTTGGACATGTTACTTTGCCATCCGGCTAATAAGAGCAAGACCGGCGCCTTCTTGAAGGCAGTCCTCCAGGCACATCAGCTTGAGCCGGTTCCTCCTATGGTCTCTTCCAACAAGTCTATGGCAATACCTCCCTCTCCATCCACCTGGCGCTTGGTTCTCCCTCCCTCCAACAAATGCGCCAAGGGGACCAAATGTTAGTGAACTTGTTCATTGATTCTTTGGTGGATCAGCTTACATTGAAATGGCTCAACTGGTGTCAGATCTTCCTCCATGCAGTCACTCTCTCCAATATCGTGAATGCTGAAGGGACAGCAATTGCTCTGCAGGTATGGAAAGGGATAAGAGCAGACCACTGCGCTGACCGGTACCAATGGCCCTGTACTCCTTGTCCGTCTAATCAGTGGTGGGCTGTGTGACAGCAATGGATTTCTTCTCTGGCATCACATTCTCATGGCCGGGTTCCTGATGCCATTACCATTGAAGGTAGTGAGGATCACCTGGTCCAGCCTCTTCTTGCTGGTACCCTTTGTGTTGTGAGTGACGGCTTGTACAAAGCAAAATGGTCACAGCATGCGCTCAAATTCTCACTGAGGATCGCAGGGACATAATCTGGATCACCTGCCAAATTCCTGGGAAATTTGAGGACATATTCTGGATCACCTGCCAAACTCCGGGAAAATTTGAAGATCAGAGTTCAACACGCAGCAAATTAATTGGTGGCTTCTCTCCTGGTGTTGGAATGGATGGCTCAGATTGTCTGACTGAAACTCTTTGCCCACCACCCTCGTTGGACATGGCCCCCTGTGACGGCCTCATTGTCCTCAATAAGTCCTTCTCAGAAGACCCATCTGCCCTTGTTGGGGCGACTCTCTCTCCATCCACCTGGCGCTTGGTTCTCCCTCCCTCCAACAAATGCGCCAAGGGGACCAAATGTTAGTGAACTTGTTCATTGATTCTTTGGTGGATCAGCTTACATTGAAATGGCTCAACTGGTGTCAGATCTTCCTCCATGCAGTCACTCTCTCCAATATCGTGAATGCTGAAGGGACAGCAATTGCTCTGCAGGTATGGAAAGGGATAAGAGCAGACCACTGCGCTGACCGGTACCAATGGCCCTGTACTCCTTGTCCGTCTAATCAGTGGTGGGCTGTGTGACAGCAATGGATTTCTTCTCTGGCATCACATTCTCATGGCCGGGTTCCTGATGCCATTACCATTGAAGGTAGTGAGGATCACCTGGTCCAGCCTCTTCTTGCTGGTACCCTTTGTGTTGTGAGTGACGGCTTGTACAAAGCAAAATGGTCACAGCATGCGCTCAAATTCTCACTGAGGATCGCAGGGACATAATCTGGATCACCTGCCAAATTCCTGGGAAATTTGAGGACATATTCTGGATCACCTGCCAAACTCCGGGAAAATTTGAAGATCAGAGTTCAACACGCAGCAAATTAATTGGTGGCTTCTCTCCTGGTGTTGGAATGGATGGCTCAGATTGTCTGACTGAAACTCTTTGCCCACCACCCTCGTTGGACATGGCCCCCTGTGACGGCCTCATTGTCCTCAATAAGTCCTTCTCAGAAGACCCATCTGCCCTTGTTGGGCGCCCAGTTTGACTTGGCCTCCACCATCCGGGCCTTGCTTTGCCACCTTCCTCTTCACGTCCAGCGGCGCCATGCCAAAGGTCACCTGGATAAGCACCGGCCTTTCTCCAAACTGGACTGGTGGGAGCAGCAAAACGTTAAAGTGGACTCCAAAGCACAAGCTTACCGCCGCCTGCTAGAATCTATGGGCCAATCGGCTGCCTCAAACCCCCGCTTCTTCCATAAACCTGTGGCTTTATTCATTGATGGCATCAAATTGTCCTGACTGGATAAGGCTCACATCATGAAGCTTGTCTCTCTTCCGGCCCTTTGCGTGTATTGGTCCTCCAAGGATTGCCTCTCCAACCAGTCCATCCGTGAGGTCAACTGGCTGTCTCTTGCACGCGCCATGAAGGCCCTCTTAGCAATGTCCAACGCTGGACACCCAAGCATATCTCTGGTATGACAGGTGTAGGAAAATTATTGGCCATTTGGAACCCTTTGGCTAAAAGCTCATGTCCCTGATGCTCCTCCTTCCCGGTAGAAGATCACCTCCATGTCCCATGCTGTTCTGCCCCTACTGCAGCGGCAGAATGGTCCAGACGCAATCTGGCCTTCCGGACCTGGATGCAGACTCAGCAGACCGCCCCAGAGATCAAAGCCTTCCTCTTTGAATACCTGAAGACAGTTGTGTTCAAACAATCACATGAAGATTGATACACAGAAAATTCAACGGCTTGTGTTGAGTATGTGAATTTTTGGTTTCACAGGAAAATGTGGATCGTGGGATTTTCGTTTGTATATGACATGTGTTGTGGAGTATCACACATGTTGCATCGGAATATATATTCCGACTCTTCCTCTTTGAATACCTGAAGACAGTTCGCCAGTCCAACAACACACCGTTGTTGTTGTTGCTTGATTAACTACCAGTACAAACTCCTCATCAAGCCATCTCTGATAAGAATCCATACAGCAGAAAAGAAATGGCGTTGTTTGAGGCTGCTTGACTACTGCTGTACCCAACAATACACCATCATCATTGCTCAACTTCTACAGATGTGTCAAGCAATCCCTATGTGAAATGATGTCTCTCAACAAGGGAAGTTTGATTGTTGGATGCAACCAGGATGGTCACAGTGTTCTCCATTTCCTGACTACGCTACCCAACAATACACCATTATCAATGCTTGACTACACAAACCTATCATTCCTCATGGTTTCTACCATACAAAACACAAGCTGAACACCATCATACTATTAGTAGTACTGAAAATTAACAATGTTTTGTAGTGAATCATGGATCTCTTATTTTGCTTTTGGAAGATTAAGACCTGTCTCCTTTTTTTTCTCTTTTCTTGTTGGTGCTTCTCCCTCCCTTGACTCCAGCTTCATCATTTCCTCTGGTGACTTGCTCTGTTCTGGCTCTCCAAAGCCCATTTCAATGCTGATGGTGCATGACGCTGTGTAATCCATAGCATCCAAAGAATTGTAAAATTGAGTATAACGCATTGTATAGCAATGTGTCTTCCTCCAATCAGGCCGTAAGGTTGCCTTAAGGTATTGTGTCAGACCTGTCAAGACAATGATTCCCTTTTTGTTGTATTGTCCCTTGAACCTAGACACCAAAGTTGCACTTTATGCCCTTCCTTCCTGTGGTGTTCTTTAGGGCGGCCTTCCATCACGGAAACCAGATGAAAGTCCGGCAAAGAAGGGTGTCCAATGTAGTAGTGACCTAATACTACTGGCTACTACATTGAGCAGAAGGTTTGTTGAAGCAGTGCCCTTGCTCCCAACAAGCTGGTTTCAAGGTAAGATGCAAGACCAAATGAGGCAGACTTCCTGTATGAGCTATATCATGTGCAACTTAGATGACTCTCCTTGACTAGTAGTTTATACTCCTTGCTCTGATGTCTACTATTGGTGACTTGATCTCTATGACAAAGGAGTGTCACAAGAAGGAGTCTGCGGAGTGATAAAATGCTAGTCAATAGCCATTTTGTCTATGGATCATGAAAAAGGTCACCTCTTTAGGACAACTATGACCTTTTGAAAGAAAAGGACCTGACAACCAATGTCTCATAATAGTCATAATGACTCTTGTGTGTCATTCTCACCAAAGGAATGTCCAAAAAGGAGGGCACCTTGTGAAAAAGAGGACAAGGAACTTTGGGAAAGGACGAGACCTGCCGCAAAAAGGGCAGACCACACCTTTGCAACTTGCTGGTACTACAGTTAATCAAATGAAGCAAGTTCCTTTGGGAATGCAGCTCATGCAGATTCCAACTCAAGGTGGCTGCACTGTGACTGTCCCTTACTCAATGAATGCTAATGGTGAAATTGCGTTCAGCGGAATGCAACTTGGCTACCAAGGATTCAGTGGTGCTCAAGTGCGCCAAGGATTCGATGCAACTCAAGCTAAAGCTCCGCAGATTGTGAAGACTGGCTATTACAATATGTGAAGATCAGCCTACTTCAAGACAAACAAGAGAACCGTCAAATCAAGCATCATGCTCAAGTTTGTGACAAAGGCGATGGATATCAAGCTTCGAGTTGAAGCCAATTTCACGACTACTCTTGAAGATCCAATCGAACTCTTGAAACGTATTGAACAATTCATGAAGAAGAGTGCTGATGCTGAGTATGATTTCTTGGATTTCTGGGAAGCGAATCAAAAGTTCTTTGCTATGAAGCAAGGAACAACAGAAGACTTGATGCATTTCAATGAACGATTCTTGAGACAGGCTGAAGTCCTACAAAAACTATATGTCGTGGCCTGGATCCGAGATTTTGCAGTCAAGACAAAAGCGTATGCTGCTATTGCTAGCACCGATTCTGCTGCTCAAAACAAGTTCAAGGATTATATCTTTGAAGCCGTTCTGGCAACAGGATTTCTATGCAACTGCAATCAAACAAGAACAGCTCCTCTGATGCTGGATCTTCAGACGAATTATTGCAGAGAAGTGGATTATTATCCAAAGACGGTCAGCAAAGCACAAGATATGTTGAAGATTCACATGGAGGTGATTGAAAATCCGGGAGTGAACCTCTACCAAGGAAAAGACCAACCTAATAAAGGTAAAGGTTAAGGAAAAGGAAAGGGGAAACCAAAGGATGGAAAGAAGGCAGCATGCTATGTGTGGCAACAAAGACCATATGTCTCCAAAATGCCCAGACAGACTGTTACCAAATATCCAATGGAAGAATCAGGATCAATATGTCGACTATGGGAAGCAGCTCAATCTGAATCAGATTGAAGCAACTGTCCCAGCTACTATTCCAGCTATAGTTCCTGGAGCTTCAGCGTCCACAAGTGGAGCATCAAGTGTTGCGGGAAGCGTTAACACACCTTTGTGACTTGCTGGTACTACAGGTAATCAAATGATGCAAGTTCCTTCTGGAATGCAGCTCATGCAGATTCCAACTCAAGGTGGCGGGACTGTTACTGTCCCTTATTCTATGAATGCTAACGGTGAGATTGCGTTCAGTGGAATGCAACTCAGCCGACAAGGCTTCAGTGGTGCTCAAGTGCGCCAAGGATTCGATGCAACTCAAGCTCGAACTCCGCAAGCTGTGAAAACTGGATATTTTGATACGTCAAATGTCTTTCATGATGCTATCAAGGGAAAGCATGAGAATGGCAATGATGTCTATCTTATTCCATGTCCTGCTGGTACGATAAATGTCAAACTTCAAGCCAACTGGCACTATGCTAGTGAAAATGAAGATTTGCCTGATCTTGCTACTGAAGCAGATCAAGGTCTGCAGTTTATTCAAAGCTGCAGAAGAGAAAAGGATCCATTTGGATTGCACGATCATGTCATCATGGACAGTGGTTGAACAAACATCACCTTTTGTAATGGTGAGCTCATGCATGGACTCTGTCATGCTGAGAAGGAGCTCAATATGCACACTAACACGGGCAGCAGAGTTCTTGACAAAGAAGGTTTTCTAGGAAGATTTCCGCCTCCAGTTTACCACAATGAAGATAGAATTGCCAATTACTTGCTATGCAATTGCTGCGGGATACTGTGCTGAAAGGCTCCTTGACTGCTACATTTCTATTCTGTACTTTCTATTCAATACTTGTATTATTCAGATTACTGAGCATGGATGTGGAGTCTCACGCATCTGTTTTACTAGGCCAAACCTGTACCATGTGGTATAGTCTTGTAGACTTTATACTAATGTCCATGTTTCAATTTACGTCCCAAGTAGTTCCTTACACAAGGCATAACCACACCCATCCATGTTTGGACTCAGCCATTCATGCCATTGTCCGTCCTGTGTCCGTCAGCAAACAAGCACTGTCCAGAATTCTTGCATGAAATTTTGTCACATCTCAATGTATTGAGTTTGTCCCCATACAGTCCAATTATTTCACATGTCATATGCTGCTCTGTTGTCAACATAGAGTCTCATTGGCAGTTGTACTCCCCCTTGCTTCAATGAATTGAGAATTGCATCTCTGAAAGCATTTCTTGGGCACATTATACTGCTGAAAATAGTTCAACTTCTGTCACAGAAAGAGCCACAATTTGCATCATCTTGCTTCTGTGGCTAACAGGTTCTTTGTTGATAAATGCCGTCCATCCATTGATACTCTGTTGCATTGCATTCTTGTCATGTTTGGAATCACTCCATCCTCAATCACAAAAAGGTTTTCACAGACATTTGCTCTCATCTTTCTCAAGCAGTACTCTCTCTCAGAGTTATACAGTTCCAATTGGGTCCACTTCTTCACATGAAACAACTTTCTGACTTCAGATTTCTTCATATTTTTCTTTCTTGCTTCTTGGAGTAACAAGATCTTCTTTGCTCATCGTGAGCTCTTTCTTGTTGTCACTCATGTTCTCTTTATTGCTCATTTTCTCTTACATCACTCATCACAAGCTTGCTGCTTATCTCAAGCTCTTCACTATCAACAATCAAACAGTTGTTGATTGTTGTTTCTTGTTCTTCTTTATTTCTATTGTCAATCTTGTCAATCTAGTCTGAAGTTTCTGAAGTTGCTGTACCAGAAGTCTCTCCCTCAGCAGCTTCAGAGACTTGGCAGTGGTCTTGACATTGTTTGGCTTTCACTCCTTTACTGGCCCAGGAGGTAGTATCTTGACTCTTCATGGGTGGGATCTGGGTGTGTGCCCTCCCGCATCCTAGCGGGTCCTCGCCCGTTTGGGCTGTATAGTATGTCCCCAGCATGTGATTCACGACGTGTTTGATTACATCATCATTTGTCAGAGGTTTGATGTAGATCCTGAAAACAATTCCATCACAGGTTGGGATTTCGATATCAAATCGCAACATCACTTTCTCTCTCTCCAATGTCAACATGCTTTCATCACCACACAGTGTCCAACGTTCAATGAGTTGCTTGGTGGTGCTGGGTGTGTTGTAGTTGTTGCCAGGCACACCCTTCACATTGTTCATTCGAACTTTCATCTGAAGAGTGCCAAATTTGTCACACAGCAACCCTGGCGCTTCGCCTTCTTGCTTTATGCCTGTAGTCCCTCCATCAGCGTCTCATTACCCTTTCCGTCTTCAAGTTTCTCTACATTTTCAAGCTTGTCAAGATATGGTATAGTGTCTACCAATGCTCCAGTGTCCGCAATCCAGATGTTGGGATCATTGAGCAGTTCAAAAACCTCATGGCAATTCAACATGCCTTGAGGTTCCCCCTTTATCAATTTGTCAGTTTGTGTGACCGGTATCTTTGCAATTGCCCCCATCTTTCTTCTCATCTTGGATCTTCTTCTTGAACCATTCTGGCGCTGTGTGGCATTTCCTTCATCTTGCCAACAATTCACCATAATATGACCAATCTTGCCATACATTTTAAGTTATGTTGTTCCTTCCGCGCTCTCTATCCTCAGTACATTGGAAAGCCATGTGACCCTTCTTCTTACAACAGTAACATATCACCCACATTGTCCACTGATGAAAGTTCCACTGCTTTGGCTGAGGAGGTTTTCTTTGTCTTTGCTGCTGGGTACATGATACAACATTGCACATGCATTGCTTCTCTGATGTTCTCCAATGTAAGTGCATTCCCTTTGTTTCTCGTTTCTGCTGTGATTGTGGCACCATATTCAATAGGTGCAGCATCCAATACAATTGCAAGTAAGTCCTCAAGACTTAACTTTTGGGTGACATACTTATCCTCAATTTGGCTGATCTGTTCAAAAAATGTGTTTGGATCATTATCTTTCTTCATGTTTACTTGATCCATCTCACGTCTCATCTCGACCTTTGACATCACATCACTAGGTCTGTATTGCTTGAACAGAGTAGCAATCACCTTCTTGTAGGCAAGGCCACTTGGCCAATCTACCATGACTGCATCAGCAATCATTCCCATCATTGAGGCTGAAGTGAACGCCATTGTCAGCATCTCCATGGCCAATGAATTTGCATGGCGCGGCTTCTTTATCTTCTTTCTACCTGCATCATCTGCAAGAACTTCATCCTCCTTTAGTGGGAGATCAGGATCCCTTGTCCTCCTGGCATACGTCTTGAATCGCATCCACTACATCTGAAATTAACTAGTGTAATGACTAACTTTACATCGGGCATTACCAAAAAAGCCGGATGGACTCACTTTCAAAGCTTCAAAGCACCATACAATGCATTTGTAAGTGGTGGTAAGGTGATTTTGAGGACAAAGTTTGTATCCTCCAAGCAACGATACAGCAAGCAAGGGCAAAGCTGGCAATGCAATTACCGTTCCAAGTCAACTTTCTACCAGTGCCTTTCTTATTGGTAGGTGATGCCCTGATCCTTTCTACAGCCGGTAGCTCAGCCTTGGTCAGCCTGCAGTTGCTAAGGGTGTCACGTTCTCTCCAAAAAGCCACAAATGGATTGAGTGTCAAACTGAAGATGTTGCCAACCCAACCAAGTGGAGTGTGGTAGCAACAATGATAAGGACGCAAATGTCGTCTCATGGATTCTTAAAAGTGGTTTGCTTGTTTTTGCTCCTCAAAGCATGAAATGAGTATCGCAAATTAGCAGTCAACAATAACATACTAGACTGAATATTTTATCTATCTAGCTGTGAAGAATAGCCACCCTATATTTTCTGGGTGTCATCAATAATGTCTCTTTCCCTAAATATTGTTTCCCAGGAGCTTGGAATAATGCCACCGACAACAAAATTGTAGACTTCAAGCAGACCTGGTTGGATGGACATACTTTTGTTGATGCAAATGTTTGTTCCATCCATGACCAGCAAAACATGTCCTTTGGCTTGACATTGTACTTTCTTTGCTTCTTCTCGGTGGTTTTTGCAATAAGTTCTGCCTTCACCTTTTCAAATTCTGGAAGCTGATAAACCTGAAGGCGGTTTGTGAACACTTCATTTTGCTGCTTCTTGTTTGGCATGAATCTCAATATTCTAGCCAATTTCTTTTGAACTAGATGACGACTCTGGCAATATTCCATACATTTTGAAATGAGAAACAAACTGTGGGATATGTAAAGCCTATCATGAAGTTTTGGAAAGACGCCCTGTTTGGGAAAGATATCCAACCATTTGAAGAAAACATGGTAACAATACCCCTTCAGTTCATCAATCTTTTTTCATTGTCCCGCTTTTTATGGGACTTGAGGAGGATGTTCATCTTGAACATAGGCATGGCTACCTCTTCTGAGCCCTCCATTGCTGTCACAACATTTCATGCTTACCATCACCTGATCTTGGACCACTACTTGAGCATCAATAATGAACAAATCCATTCTGCCAAATTGTGCATTGAATTTGGGACCCACAATTTTAATTGCTTTGCAAAAGGCCCGCTGAGCTGGGCCCTTGGGCTTCTTTGTACTGTCCTATTTTTCAATAGCTTTCAGTAAAGCAACTGCTGTTACGGAGATTTTTGCTGCATTCACAGACATGCACACAATCATCCGTCGTTTATGCAAATCTTCTGCAAGGATCCTTCACTCATTTGATGCCAATTCTTCCGCTGTTGATATTTGTTTGTAATTTTTTGATTTTCTTTTTCAAGTAAGCTGCCTTTTGGTGGGGGCCTTTTTTTGCTTGCACTGCCCCTTTTCATCGGCCACTTTTTTCAACAATGTCACTGTTCCCAGATTCGTCTTGAGTGCATCAATTTTTCCCATTCTCTCATCTATGTTCTTCTTGAACTGGTTCTCTAAGCCTGCTTCGAGGGATGGATATCAAGAAGTGGCTTGTTGATCACACATCCAATGTCTCACAATTCATCTTCAGAATATGTGTTGTTCCCATAGTTGGAATCTTCCTCAAGCTTCTGAAACATGATTGAATTTGAATGTTCTCCGCAGTGTGAGGGATAATCTTTCTACTCAGCTTCAACTTTGGCTGCTAATCGATTGTTCTCAAGACCATGTTCTTTGGCATATTGTACCATCCAGTCTGGAAAGTTTGCCTTATAAGTGCTTTTTGGTTGGGTAGAGAAGATACAGTTCGACCTTGCATTTGTGCTGCCCAGGAACTCTTCTTGTCACAGCTAACAAATCCAATTACCTGTCTAAAGCCACAATCGATCAGTTCAACATTTGGTTCCTGCCATTGAATTAGCTTCTCAAACAAGCCCACAACCAAAACCTTGTCTTGTTGGCACCAAAGCTACCGTCACAGCGCGCATGCAACGTGCAATCAACCCCTGCAATCAACCGCGCCGCAGGCATGGCTATCCCCAATTTTACGCGTACAAAATAAATGTTCCACAAACTCGTAGACATAAATGTTCAACATCACCAAGTTTTTCCTCCTGATCGAGCAAAAGTGCCTAGTTCTAGCCATAAATTGCCTTCACCACCAGACTGAAGCTACAAATTAGATCTGAACTATCCAATTCTCCACAAGGAATAATGATCTTTGGATTTGAGCTTTCGATGGACCAATTTTGGACTTCGCAAAAGTGACGGTGCTCCGGAAAATAAATCAACCTCAAGCATGACAGGGCTCTTGTAGACACCCATTGGATTGAGACATTGTGGCTCCTGTGATACTGATAAGTTTTGTTGTGTTCCCTTTCCTAGACTTCATACTGGGGAATGACACCCCGCAGCTCGTTTCATTTTGGAGCAGAATGAAATGCACTGATTTCCTTACACTTTGCATCCGACACAAAAGATTCATAATTTGTGCGGTAGATGCAGATTCAAGCACAGAGCACACTTCCTCCGCTATGTATACTTAATCTCTTAGGATAGTGGGTTGGAAGGATGATATAAGATGGGACTACCCCCAAATGCTCCCTCTTGTGGATGAGCAGATTCAAAATGTGCTCGATCAGATGTTGCTTCATCTGCAGGAGGTTTGACGCACTTTTACCATCCAACGTATTGGGATAAGGAATAGGGATATCTAAATAGTAGAAATATTTCATTATGCAGCAACGGCTAAGCCGTGGGTCTGGGTCTAGGAGGCCATGGAGCCGAATTTTGAAGAACAGATGCTTCATATTAGAATGGTCGACTTCAGCCATTTGATTATTGCATAAGGAGCCAACATAACCCCTATCTAATGTATTTAGACCTATTGCAACCCGGATACGCCCATTTCACTTTCCAGCAAGTGTATAGTCTGCATCTGATGTCATAATGTATACTGGCTTGTGCGCTTTCAGCTTTGGTGACTCGGACGTCTAGGCCAATGCAACCAGATGCTACAATCAAAGTTTCACCCCATCTCAGTCTTTTAATAGGTATTTACCTCTCTCGAAATCTATTGGTCAGTGTATTTAAGGATTTTGGCAAATGCTTGATGTATATTTGGCCAAATTTGTATTAGCAACAACATACTCATAGGCAGCCCTTTGCTTTCTATCGCCGAGTCTCTTCCAAGTATATCATCATCTAAAGTTACTAGTATATTCTAGGGGAAATGGGTACCTCATAGCACTTGCACGCCTCCTCCAATTATGGAAAGCCAAATGATTGCTCACAGTATTCAACGACCTAGACAAGATCCTCGTTGAAGGACCCCACCACCCAGCTCATCAATCCACTTTATGAATTCTGTACCAGCCAATCCAAAGTCTGGTTCATTCCTCAACATTTCATCACTTAGCCATGTACATTTTCATTGTATGCAACACACTGTAGTGGTTTCACAATTGGTGCGGATAAAGTACTGGAAAGGTTTCCTAGCAATGCTGTAGTGTTGGAGCTGAAAGCTCAACAATTCCATCTGCTTATCTCAAAAAGCAAGTAGTTTCCAGCTCAAAGATAATATAGGAGGGATTTGAAGTTGCCACAGTTTGATTGTTGCCTTGGAGTCATCATCGAATGTTGGCTTGACTCTTTCCTTGGAAGTTTGGCAGCAAGTTTTGGGTTTGCATGGGCATTTTGAAAAATTCTTTGTGCACCTGATCTTCACACATATACTGCATTTGGGCAAATTGTTTGGTTCCCTCTTGTGTTGCACTGGTGCAAATTTGAAGTGTGCGGAGGTTGTTGTTGACGAGCAATGGTCGACGGACCAAGCGTGCACGATTTTTGGCGAGGCGTTGAATTTTGGTCATTTTGGTCAAAATGAAAAATTGGCACAGCTTCACAGTGGATCATATGGGCCAAAAACGGGAATCGTATAGGAGCTAACATAGTGTCAATATGCAGCCATCCCGTTTTTTTTGTAGTCGCACGAGTCGTATACTCGCATGAACGCAATGATGTATATGTATTGTATGTAATCATTTTTACTAGCGTAGTGCCAGTCGGATTGAAGTTCGTAATGTATGTAAAAAATTGTGCTTGTTTTATTGGCATTCAGGAATAGAGTTCAGTTGAGTCAGTCACCGGTACCGCGTACGGGTACCAGTACTATTATAACCCACTGAAGCGCGACAATTTCAATATGAAGACAGAAGGATTGGGCAGGGGTCGGTCCTCATAAGTCACGATCAAGCCTCTAGCCAAAGAATAGAGGAAGATGTGAATGCTGTCGATACTCTCAAGTTCTGACAATGCCAAATCTATCTAGCCTCTGATGCCCCATGCAGGGATTGGAATGATTATGCACATCTTTGTGATCAAGCAACACGATTGCAATTGACCAGATCACGAGGTTACGATCAAATCAGAACAGCCGAGCTAAATTTACATCAGGCATTACCAAATAAAAACCGGATGGACTCACTTTCAAGGCTTCAGAGCGCCATACAATGCATTTGGAAGCGGTGGTAAGATAATTTTGAAAATGAAGCTTGTATCATCCGAGCGAGGATACGGCAAACGAGGGCAAAGCTGGCAATCCAATTACCGTTCCAAGTCAACTTTCTGCCAGTGCCTTTCTTATTGGTAGGTGATGCCCTGATCCTTTCTACGGCCGGTAGTTCAGCCTTGGTCAGCCTGCAATTGCCAAGTGTGTCACGTTCTCTCCGAAAAGCTACGAATGGACGGAGCGTCAAACTGTAGATGTCGCCAACCAATCGAGTGGCGTGTGGTAGCAACGACAATGAGGACGCAAATGTTGTCTCATGGATTATTAAAAGTGGTTTGCTTCTTTTGCTCCTCAAAGCATGAAATGAGTAGCACGAATTAGCAGTCAACAATAACATACTAGACTAATTATTTTATCTATCTAGTTGGGAAGAATACCCAGCCTTTATTTTTTGGGTGTCATCGATATCGTCTCTGTCCCTAAATATTTTTTCCCAGGAGCTTGGAACAATGCCACAGACAACCATATTGTAGACTTCAAGCAAACCTGGTTTGATTGACATACTTTTGTTGATGCGAATGTTCGCGCCATCCATGACCAGCTCAGGCAGCGAAATGGGCAAAACATTGTCCTTTGGCTTGACATTGTACTTTCCTCTCTTCTTCTTGGTGGTTTTTGCAATCAGTTCTGCCTTCACCTTTTCAAATTCTGGAAGCTGATAAACCTGAAGGCGGTTTGTGAACACTTCATTTTGCTGCTTCTTGTTTGGCATGAATCTCAATATTCTAGCCAATTTCTTGTGAACTATATGACGACTCTCCATAGATTCTTCTGACAATATTCCATACATTTTGAAATGAGTAACGAACTGTGGGATATGCCAAGCCATATCATGAAGTTTTGGAAAGACGCCCTGTTTGGGAAAGATATCCAACCATTTGAAGAACACATGGTAACAATACCCCTTCAGTTCATTGATCTTTTCATCATTCCACTTTTTTTGGGACTTGAGGAGCTTGTTCATCTTGAACAAAGGCGTGGCTATCTCTTCTGAGCCCTCCATTGCTTTTGCAACCATTTCATGCTTACCATCACCCGGTTTGTATGCACCACAGACCATTGCCATGATCTCGGACCATTTCTCAAGCATCAATAATCCGTGAGCATGTGACAAATCCATTCCGCCAAATTGTGGATTGAATTTGGGACCTGCAATTTCAATTGCTTTGCGAAAGGCCCACTGAGCTGGTCCCTTGGGCTTCTTTGTACCGTCATATTTTTCAATAGCTTTCAGTAAGGCAACTGCGCCGTTGTGGAGTCGGAGATTTTTGCCGCATTCACGGACAACGGGTTCTTTCTCAGCAAGCAAACTAGCAAGTTGTGCTTGCATGTAATGCACACAATCATCCGTCGTTGATGCAAATCTTCTGCGAGGATCCTTCGCTCGTTCGACGTTAATTCTTGTGCTGTCAATGTTTGCTTGTAATTTTTTGATTTTCTGTTTCAATGTAGTAAGCCGCCTTTTGGTGGTGGCCTTTATTTGCTTGCACCGCCCCTGTGCATCGGCCACTTTTTCCAACCATGTCACTGTTTCCGGATTCGTCTTGAGTGCATCAATTTTTCCCAGTCTCCCATCTATATTATTCTTGAAGTGGTTCTCTAAGCCGGCCCCATTATGCAGGGCTCCAAAAGTTTGTTTTGAGGGATGGATATCAAGAAGTGGCTTGTTGATTACACATCCATGTCTTTCTCGAATGTCTCGTAATTCATCTTCAGAATATGTGTTGTTCCCGTTGTTGGTATCTTCCTCAAGCTTCTGAAACATGATTGAATTTGAGTGTTCTCCACAGCGGGAGGGATAATCTTTCCACCCAGCTTCAACTTTGGCTGCTAATCGCTCGTTCTCGAAACCGTGTTCTTTGGCATACTGTACCATCCAGTCTGGAAAGTTCGTCTTATAAGTGCTTTTTGGTTGGGTACAGAAGATACAGTTCGACCTTGCACTCGCGCTGTCCATCATGCCCATAGTCGCCCAGGAATTCTTCTTGTCACAGCTAACAAATCCAATTACCTGTTTCAAGCCACAATCGATCAGTTCATCATTTGGGTCCCGCCGTTGAATCGGCTTCTCAAACAAGCCCGCAACCAAAACCTTGTCTTGTTGGCCATCACCATCGACATCAGGATTGTTCAAAAAGATACGGAATCCATAGTACTTGTTGTCGCCATCATAAACGAGCTGTAGGCGAAGCCCGTTGGATCCATTTTCCCATTCATCATCCAGCTTCAACCCGATGCATCCCATCCCAAGAGATGGCTCTTCTACCTCTCCATTAGAAAAAAATGTTCCTCATCGTCGGTCCTTGCTCTATCATGGTGGGTCAAGTTATAACCCTCCATGTCTTCCTCTTCTTCAGTCGTTCCATCATACTCATCAGAGGAATTTCCATCTTCGTCGTCATCATCAATTATGCTTGTTGCGTCATCCAAGACATACTCCTTTCCTTGACATTCATCGGTGATTTCACTGTCGTGAAAAGTTGAGACAGTTGAAATTGACTGCTCTTCATCGCCGTTATTGTTGTCATCCTTCTCATTCCAGGTACAAGTAGAGGATGCATATATGTCTTGTTCTGATTCATTTTCAAAATTTTGAAAATTTTGAAAATCTTGCGATGACGTCACCACCTTGAAGTCTGCTTTCGAGAAAAAACTGGCTTCACAATGTTCAAGCTTCACATCAATTTCCGGAAGCATCGTCTCATCAGTTGCACTTTGACGATGATCTGCAAACAAATTAATGACGATACATTGGCTTTCGACAATGTTTCCTTCGTTTTTGTCAATTGAATTGACCGTAATAGCAAACAATTTGTTATCCAGGAGCAATTGCAGAAATCTTTGTATCGGAGAACCCTCCTTCAAAAATGTCTTCTCCATATTCCCATAGCACTCCGCTGCATTCTCGTACATTGCTAGGGTTGTAACATAGTCACTGCAATTCCCCATGATTCGGTTCAGAATTCGAAGTAACATGGATGTTGCCAATTCATCTTTGTCAGCGCCGACTGCAACAACAATTTTGTCCAACAATCTCGAGAAGTGGTCTGAATGCATGAAGTTGCCAGACAGAAATGCTGCCTCCACCTGTCGTTCCAGAGCCCGAAGTGGCGTTGCTAGATACCAAGAGAGTTGTGGCTTCACTTCTTTGCTGGCGTTCATCTCCAGGGGTATCATCTCAGCCTCAATGCGCATTCTTGAATTCTTCCCAATCTTTGACAAATACTTCTTCAGTTGAGGCGGGCATCTCGTATTTCCAAGGAGATTGCGTTCCATTCGATCAATCATTACAAAATATTGGCACTGTCCACAATGGATAACAGTAGTGCTAGCTGTGCTTCGGTCCACTTAAAGTCTTCCTTGTGCAAAAGTATAAGGTCCTCGAACTTTCTATAAACCAACTTCAGCAATGCTTGTTGTTGGGCAATATCTGAACCCACCAAGCAAGCAACAATATTCTTCATGTGATTGGCTTTCTTATTCTTGGCCGACTGCGTCAAGGCAGTGAAGTCTTTTGCTGGCTGAGATAAGAGGGCGTAATGCTTTTCAATCACTCGATTCTTCGTATTTTTGAAACTGAGTTTTGAGATTTGTTCTTGTGATGTCTTTGATTCCTCCAAAGTCTTACTGGTGATAAGATGGCAGAGCTCATTTATTATAGAACTCCTATCATTCTTGTCCATTGCGAGTCTCTTGCAAAAGATTTCCACAACGAGTTTGTCTTCCTTGTGCATGGTTTCTTCCGGCGAAAGATCCACTGCCACTTCAGGTGCATTTTCTTCTTCAATCCAAGAGATACCCGAGTCCCCACTTTCAGAGTTGTTGGATGGTACGATATCTTGGATACCTATCAGAAGAGCGGCAGGTGACTTCGTTTCAATCAACAGTTCGCCGCTTTCAGAGTCATTTGCTGGCACAAGATCTTGGATTGCTCTCGGAAGAGTGTCATCTGTCTTTACTTCGATCAACAATTTGGCGCTTTCAGAGACGTTGGTTGGCACAATATCTGGGATAGCTCTCAGAAGGGGGCCAGGTTTGAGCTTTCTGAGCTGGTTGTCGGAGCAACCTGCCACTGAACGTATGGCGAACTCTCTCTTTGTGCTCCGTGAACACAACGCATCGATTGCAAACAAGAACATCTGCATATTGATATCCCATTTAGAAGGCTTTGGTTTTTGTCCAAAGACGCACTTGAAAAATGGATCACTTTTGCTGTAAACGTCATTCAGATACTGAGGCAAGGGGTCAGGTTGTTTTGATTCGCTTTTGGGTCTGCATTTCGCTGATAATGTGCACTTTTGCATGAAGGTGCGCATTAGTTCGGTTGTTTCAATGCTATTGTTGTTTGATGAATGAAGGGAGAGGAATTCTTTGATTGCCCGAGTGCAAGCATCCTTCATTTCCTTGCTAGAGCAATCTTTGCAAAAAGCCGTTGCAAGAAGTTCCCATGGATCCACATTGTAATCAGATGGGAGACCACACAACAAATAACCAAGTGCACAAAGGAATAGGCGTATACAAAGCGGGTAGTATCCAATCCCCTTCATGTGAAATTGGTTCTTTAGATTCGGGTATGTGCGACACATCGTCTCTTTTAGAGACTGCTCTTGGTATTCGTTGACTAAATGAGACTCGAAAGGATGTGGTTTTCTTTTCCTACCAGCAGTTTTGACTGGTCTCCATGGCAATGATTTCAGGAATGCTTCAGCAAAACTTGCCATTCGAGCTTTGCTTGTATCAGCTGATGTGCTCATCTCTCCTTCAATGTCATCATCAATGTAGTTTTTGAAGCTAGCACTAGGTTGAGCTGTTTCTTCATTCGGTGTCACTTGGGGTGCTGGGGCTCCTTCATGTCCATCTCCCGTATTGAAAAATCTCGTGTCAACAGTTGGTACCTTTCCAGCATCTGGTGTCACCACTGTTTCCCCAACACCATCACACGATGTACAGCCAACTTCAATTGATGACATACAGGAATACCTTTGTTTGAAGGGAAGTCTGAAGCTTCATTCAAGCTTTCTAGCTCATCGATTTGCAACTCAAAGCTTGCCATCTTGCGGGTTAAAAATTTGAAGGCTCAAAGAAATTTCCAGATTTTGTGGGATATCAAAGACACGACATCCGCGCAAACATTATTTTTATTTTATGTGTTGTACCGGTACTACGTACTTCTCTAACCCGTTTGGTTGACTCGTCCGACCATACGCTAAATAAACTTCATTCATATATTCAAGAGGTATTCGGTGCGTTAGACTCACTAGACTCAAATATATGACACATACGACTACTTCCAAAAAACGGGATGGATCCCGAATACCATTCCCGGTTTGATCCACTGTGGCTTCGGCCAGTCATCATCATTGCCAACAATATTCAAGGATAATCTAGTAGATAACTAGGAGAATATATATTCAAAGCTGCATTGGTAAATTCGTCTTTCATCATAGTCATCTCATTGCTTGAAGTTGAAGTTTGGGGGGGGGATAGCCCCCTACTAGGGGGCTATCTGACGCCTGATCGGTTAATCAAACAGGGCGGTACGTAGAAGCCCTCGAGGAGTTTCCCCTACCCCCTGAAGAAATAGGAGCGCAAGACCCTGAAGAAGCAGGAGCGAATGAAGTTGAACCAAGTGCAGAAATAGGAGCACAATATCTAGAAGTTGAGCCAAGCAAAGAAACAGGAGCGCAACACCTGGAAGAAGAGGTAGTAATGTTCGATCCTCCAGAAGAGCACCCCTGTTCCATGATGACATGGAGGAACAAATAGAAAATGACAGTCTTGACATTTGCGATTCATCATCTATAGTATATGAGCGCGATGACGTGGCGTTAGCACACGTGGCCAAAGAACAACAGTTTTTGTGCAGTGTCCCTCAACGAATCGGACGCTTTGTGCTAGCAAAATTCCTAGAGAATGCGTCTTGCGACGACAGGAAGTACTGGTGGCGTTACTTGCCGGAGAAACTACAAACCACTGCAGACGTGCACTGTTATATGCACCTAATGTTAGGCAACCAAACATTTAACGTGCTCCTAAATCAAATGACTGCAAAATCAGGAATAAAGAAGCATTGTTAGAATAAAGCAAAATGTGCTCTATTGTGAGTGCCTTTAGCGCTCAGAACAAACTCTCTGCAATCTAAATTTGTAATCGACTGTACAACACTTTCACGACACTAGTTCTCTTGTGTCTAGGTATACTTTGAGTGAAATTGTTCCTATTTGATTAATATTTGGCTTGAATTGATGATTCAATCACAAAAGTAAGTTCAACGATTTTCCCTTGGAAAATCCCTTGTTCACAGAACTTGATTCGACCTCTACGACAATTCTGTGTTGGATGCAGTACTTTGGGACATCTTGTATTATTCCCTACTGCATTGTACACAACACCGATATCACACTTGTACAGGGTCATTTCCTTTTTGCGTCCGGCATACTTGCGTCAAATTCCAACATTGCGATCAAAGTCGGATTGTACGTGTCAAAAACTGTGTACTTGAATAGTTTCTTTTTGGAACGTAAAAACTCATATTTTGCCATATCCCAACACACTCCTGCCATTGTGACAATCACCATTGGCAGCAATGGGACATGCTCTCATTCACTGTTTATTTTGTTTTGTATTTTCTTCTGAACATATACATACTTGTCTGACCTATTCCTGTGGACCAAGAATCAGATCCCTGAACTTGCAAAACTTCTCACCTTGCAATGGCTTAGTCATGAAATCCGCAATCATATCGTCAGTTGGACAGTATTCGATCTTAACATTTCCTTTCTCAACTTGATCTGTGATAAAGAAATAAAAAATATTGATAGCTCGGCTTCTTTTGCCCATGCTCTTGCGACCAGAATCGCGCTTTTGTTATCCTGATACAAGATATTCTTCTCAATCGGATACCCTTTGAACAACTTTGTCCATAGTATCATCGTGACAACATCGTCAACAGCAATCAGTTCCGCTTTTGTACGGCTTCTGCTGTTTAGCTTTTGCTTCTTCGACATCACTTGAGCAGCACCTCCTCCAAAGGACAGAGTGCCGCCAGTATGGCTCTTGAAATCTGGATGCACCGCAAATGATGCGTCGATCATCCATTTCATGACTTGTAGTGATTCTGTGGAAAGTGTCAGGTGATACAACAATGTACAAAACAAATATTGCATCATGCGAACACACTTCTTCCAATCAGACTCTGTAGGTTCTCGAACTCTTGAGGCAAGAAAAGTAATCGTTGGATGGATATCCAAACGAGCTCTCTTAGAGACATAAGTCCCCTTTCAACAGTAGTATGGAAGATCTGACAGTACTCAGCACTGAGTAACTTCCCTTTACCAGCTTCCAGTAAATCGTTACCAGCTGGTGTTTCCTGCTTTGAATCCTTGTTGAACTTGACAGGAAAATCTTATACTAGGTGACCTTTAATTGTCTTTTCGAATTGCTTCTCCGCAAGTAACATCATCGCTGATTGGGCCTTCTTTCGCTCAGAAGCACAAATTTGGGAGTGAAACAATCTCTAAGGAGCATTTGTCTCAGTAAATGAAGTTCAGACCTTTGTCAGTATCAAACTTGGCCTTGATCTGCATTTGGCCTTGATCTGCATCATGCAACGAGCGATCAGAATAGTGTTGTGCTCTTCATAATCAGCTTCTATCTCATTCCCAATCTGTTGGAAACATAGATTGTGCTGCGCTTCAAGGATAGCTTTACTGTCTTTAGTACTGCAACTTCCTTCTTTGGTACGAAGACCAGATTTTAACTTTTTCTTCAACGGTTTCAATTCTCTTTCTCAATGTTTGCTTCTTGTCCTTGATTGATGTAATACTAATGGATGAAGTTCAAACAAAGCTCCCAATATCATCGGTTCCTCTATCGACTTTTTCTTGATGGTGATCCAAATCGGCCACAATAGTTTCTTCTTCTTCATTGCCTTCATCACCCGAATTGTTGTCTGATTCATAGTCATATCTCCTTGGAATCTGACAGTGAGTTCTGGCATATCATCTGCCAAGAGCTCTATTCTTTTGGAGTCATCGATATCATTGAATTGTCCACATACACACCCTTACGATTCACAAATCACATATTTCGGTTTCCATCACAATGCACAATAAAAGCATTGTCAGCATCAGTATCCATAATAATGCGGTATCCCGCAGCAATCATCTTGCGCATAGCAAGTGCATTGGCAATTCCATCTTCATTGTGATAAACTGGAGGTGGAAATCTTCCTAAAAAACCTTCTTTGTCAAGAACTCTGCTGCCCACGTTAGTGTGCATGTCAAGTTCTTTCTCAGCATGACGGAGTCCATGCATGAGCTCACCATTACAAATGGTGGTGTGTGTACAACCACTGTCCATGATGACATGATCGTACAACCCAAATGGATCTCTTTTCTTTCTGCGGCTTTGAATAAACTGCAAACCTCAATCTGCTTCAGTAGCAAGATAAGGCAAATCTTCATCTTCACTAGCATAGTGCCAGTCGGCTTGAAGTTCGACATTTGTCGTACCAGCAGGACATGGAATAAGATAGACATCATTGCCATTCTCATGCTTTCCCTTGATAGCATCGTGAAAGACATTTGACGTATCAAAATATCCAGTTTTCACAGCTTGTGGAGTTCGAGCTTGAGTTGCATCAAATCCTTGGCGCACTTGAGCACCACTGAAGCCTTGTCGGCTGAGTTGCATTCCACTGAACGCAATCTCACCGTTAGCATTCATAGAATAAGGGACAGTAATAGTGCCGCCCCCTTGAGTTGGAATCTGCATGAGCTGCATTCCAGAAGGAACTTATTGAGACCTTGATTGATGTAATCCTGTTGAATGAAGTTCAGACTGTTAGAAGTAAGCGATCCAGTGCCGCCTGCAATCTACCTGTTTCACTTGACTGCGATTTAGCTGTCCAGGTATTGTTGCCTTCTAAGTATGTGAATTTACAGTATATAGAAGTATATAGATCAATCAGAGATCCTACTTTATCAACCAATTCACTCGTTGCTTGCAATATATTATAGAAAGGGAGAACAGTCTGTCAACTTTTGACTTTGACTCTTTCTTCTCCAGCTCAGTGGAAATTCTCAAAATTCTCTCTACGTCAGCCTGATATGCTGTAAGTTCAATCTGTTTATCCGTTCACCTTCTACTGTAGCCGGTACTTTGATTAGTATCCAACTTTGGCTCTTGCTTGAATCTTGCTTGCTTACATCATCAACAGGATGATTTCCATAGAAATATAATCCGTTTTCTGACTCGCCACGCTCGATGTTTTTAGTCGCATCAGTCTTCATTTTTAGTCGTATCAGTCGACATCATTTCTCTATCGTTCACATGCATTCTCTTTTTCTCGTTTCTCCAAATATGTACTTCGAAAATCCTAATATATCCAACA